TAAAAAGCTGATGACAAGATGCAAGTGTATTATAGTAGGTATTAAAAGAGCAAGCGCAGCCTTGAGAAATGCTCGAACCGGAGTGGTTCAATTGGAGCCGGAAGGAAGTGTGACGACTCCTGCCTATGCTGGTATGACTTCGTAGCAAAAAGGTAGCAATCGGGGGAATCGGGGCTAGCAACTGTTTGTACCCCTATAAGGTTAGTAAGGTACAGAAGTGCCTATATAGGTACATGCATAAAGCAAGGCAGATTCGATGTTGCAGCTTTCTTGTACAGGTACGAAAAGTCCCTACCGTACGGTAGTAGCACTGAATCGTGGGGCTTCCGGGAATTCACGCTATTGGACTGATATGCTAAGCTCCCCACTAATTTCCCAAGTTAGACTCCAAGATGCACATCATTGGGGGGGGGGCTCGTGCTTTCACAACGAGGGTCCTTCTCCTAAACCCTGGGGTGGATCGAAAAAGCGTTTGGCTCTCTCACTTCAACAACTTTGATAACTATTTGAGCTGTGAGTCTTGTGGTGATATCTATGTGAAAAAGGGAGATTACAGTACTCTTTTATTTCAACTAGATACGAATATACCGCTACCACCTTTGACATTATATTAAATAATTCTTCTTCATCCTACCCCGACTCGAATTATCTCGAAGTTGGGCTCAAATTTCAAACCCCTTCCAGTTCCCCACTATATGTCTAAGACTTTGACCTGAAAGAAACAACCCACCAGTCATCATGTCGGATGACGAGGCAGACCCTGAGCTCCTGGCCCTTTTGAGACAGCATTACTTCGGGAAGTCGAATCAAGAAGAAGAGCCCGAGACAGGTGTCTTAGAGGGCGCCGAATACGTCTACGACAACTCTATTGATGTGGCCCTGGATATGAGAGCTACTAAAAATGCGGCAGCTTTGATTTACGAGCAGATGCAGCAAAAAGAGTTCTCAACCGAAAGTTGGTCGGAACATGAATTGCATCCCAAGACCAAAGATGAATCTACCGTTGCTTTCATCTTTACCATGGACTTACTCAACTTCTCATTCTGGTCCTTGCGCCCAGAAGATGAGCGATTTGCTGTGTCTTACCGAGACAAAACCTGGACCGGATACTGGAGTCTGGTCGCTTCATTACAAAGAGCTTTGGAAGAAGGTGGGTAGTAGTTTCAATTAATATGCCTAATTGAGTTACTGTTTGAATACGCCTTTGGTTTTGAATTTTCAGTATTCTCGAGGCGAGCATAGTTAATGTCTATCCCAAGATATCCCCATAACCGACCCTCACTACTGGCAGAATGAGGAGGAATGCAACATTGAGTCCCTAAGGCACGTGTTTCGATCGTGCACTGATGAAGAGATACCCCTGCTGGAAGCACGACTTGCTTGTCTGAGGGAGGCAGGACAAGTTCTATACGAAGTAGGTTAATCCAAACGACATTGCAAAATTGGAGATAACGCATCACCAACGCACCTCGGCTCCTTGCAGAAATACAACTGCAGCTTCACGAAATGCATAGAAGCTGCCAACAAGTCGGCCGCGGGGTTGGTTAACCAACTTGCTCGAGACTTTGACTGCTTCAGAGACGAGTTCCGCTTTGAAGGCCGACGCAAACCGATTCGCTTCCTCAAGCGTGCCCAAATCCTAGTAGCAGACATCTGGGCCTGTTTCAACGGCGAGGGTTATGGAGAATTCCGGGACATCGACAAGATTACTATGTTTGCCGATTACCGTGTTCCGCAAATTCTGGCTACGTTAGGCTGCATAGGATACAGTCCGCCGCTACTAGCGATAGTAGCTAGGGGAGATATCCTCGAAAGTGGGCACAGCTATGAAATACAACTTCGAGGTAAGTACTATCATACTTAACACCTATCTAGGACGGCGCTGAGTGACATAATGCAGCTTGTAGCATCTGGTGTGTGGAACTTATCAGACGCGAGATCAAACGCCAACACCCAGAGGCGAAGATCAATGCTATCCTGATAGACTTTTTCTTGTATGACACAATGAAGCAATTGGAAGCCCAAGGGAAAGAAACCATTCCACATCATCGGACAAGAAGTATTTGGTACTAGTCCGTTTGGATAATTAGATCTCCAGAGGAACCTGTACATAGGCAAACGTAGTAGTATTTATTGGCCAACGGCCAGTAGAATAGACCATTAAGATCACGCAGTGTTCAAGCCAAAGTTAAATGCCGACGCATCTCAGCACACCTAGGTTGACAAGCGAATATCAAAAAACCCCAACGCCAGCGCATAATGATCATAACCATCGCAAAAGAGCAGATTCCAGCCGTCTCCTTATCCATCGTATACACATCAATTAGACACGAAACCCTTCCCTCGTGTCACATCTCATGAGGGACCAACAACGCTCGAGTTGAGAATCTCATCTATATGAGCCTTCTCGAAACCCTTGGTGTCCCTCGCCTCCTCCTTCAGTAGAACTGCGAGGACTTCCAGCGGCGGGCTGAGGCCCAGTTTTTCGGCCCGCTTCCATCTCTTCATGCGAGTGATTCCGACGCAAGGCTATGAAGTATTATACCGTTAGAAATTTCCATAGGCTTCGATTGATGACGGGAAGAATGGGGGAAATAACTCACTCCATACTGAGAACTGACATCCCAATACCGCAACACCTTCTCCGCCACAGTCAAGTCCTCCTGGTGGACTCTCTTAGCAATGCGCTCCCGCTCCAGCTTTCGCCAATACTGGTCGATTTGCCGATCGGTGATTTTCTCGGCGTGCAACTCCGCCTCCGATCTCTCGGGTTGTGGCTCAGGCTGTTTTAAATGAGGCTCCTCCTCGACCTCGATCTTGACTGCTTCATCTTCGGTGGTCGGCTCCTCTTTAACAGAAGAAACGTGTTTCGCTAGCGGGCTCTGCTTCGTGGGCTTGGAGAGGTCCTTGGCTGACTTGGGGATAGACTTGGTTACCCGGTGGTTGAAGGACAGCGTCGATTGCCTTCCAGCAGCGCGGCTGTCGCTGCTCGAGCGTCTGGTAGTAGGCATTGTGGCAATTCGCAATTAAAACCTAGCGATACTTGACCAATTTAGCAAGAATTGGTAGCAATAGGTATCGTACTTCGTGAAGATAAAATGTAACAGTGATGTTGGAATCTGTGCCTGAGAAGTTGTGGGTCAGCAATGGCTCAACGGTGGAATGACGTGGGGGATTTCCCAGATGGTAGCTTCCTGAAATTGGCGGGGCAACACGAAGGGCGAGCGACGTCACGTGAGCCGAAGAGCCTAAAGACGCCCCCTATTTCATTGATTATATAATCAGCCATTGTTTTAAAGTAGAGACATACTGATGTTATTGGCACAACCTCGTCCCTTCGACATAGTAAGTAACTATTCACGCAGGTAAACACGCTCATAATAAAGAGATTATTTTGCCGTGGGATGTCCTCTCTTATTAAAACTAGATACTCAAAACTATCTGCTTGAGTAGTTCATTGATAGCAGCTCGAGAAACATCCAATCTCTTCCAAGGCAATAGCCTTGCTAAAAGAGAGACAGAGCACAAGGCTGACTATCAAGGTTTTCCATAGTCACTGATTGTGAGGCACTTTTCCCATTTCCCCTTCGTTCTTCACGAGTCGTCACCTTCCTCTTCCTTCTCGTTCTGCTTGACAGTCTCAGCCTCGGAGTCATCCGAGTCCTCATCTTCAGAATTAATGGCTTCCTCACTCGCTGCAGCGACTAAACATTCTAATGTTAGTTGATCTAGAAACCCTCTCACTAGCTAAGATAACCTACAGTTTGCCAAGATCTGGCTGCATATGTCGAAGAAGGCCAAGTAGTCGTGTCTGTACGCCTTTCGGCTCATGGCGTAGAGAAGCCAGCTAGGTTCGATATTAAACTCGGCTGAAGTTTTCTTGAGGTTCGGATCTGTCAAGTTTCATTAGCATAGTCTCAGAATCCCAGCCAGGAGCTATAAATACCATATTGGCCTATTTCCCAGAGTCCAGCGAAGGTAGGGGCCGCCCAGAAGACAGCCAGACGGCGCGTGTACTCAGATACCTCTCTCTTGGGCTGTTCTTCCTGTGGTTGGCCAGACGAGTGGCCTGATGACTCGCCTAGCGGCTCATTCGGCTTGTCTGACATCTTGGGTTGCGGTACTGATGATGATTGTGGATCAGTTGAGATGTAGGAAGAGAAGAGCTCTCGTTTGTTGAGAGTTTGGAGAAGTGATTTATCTCAAAGAGTGCACTAGCCTAGATCCCCAAAAGACTTGTGTGTGGCTGCCCCGTTGTAAATAAAAAAAAGAAAGCACCCCCCCGCTTCAAAGACCGATAATTCTCGCTCTTCTCAGTAGGAAGGAGGCTTTCTCATCCGTAAATGCGGCCCTCGCTTGTCCGGATGGCCCGCATGCTCATCCACTAAAGCTAGGTAGAACACAATGCATACATGTAGGTACCTTTAGGAGTAGTCCACAAGTACTTGTTTGAAAACTAAGAGTGCCTGACCGTTTGGAAGTGCCGGTAAATTCCCTTATACTGAGGCATATAGGGTAGTCCTTGGGATAAGTTGTACACGAGGTGGACGACAGCAAACAGAGGCTTGCCAGAGGTTTATTGGCAGTAGATGGTAGAGACATGAATATAACGGATGACCATTTCAAGATTCAGAACATATTCCTTCATACCCAGCAAGTATAGACTCCTCTCTAGTTCACGGACTGATCACTATGCTTTACTTCCTAATACCCTATTTGGAAAATATTGGAGTTCACCTGCTTTGTGAATAATGGTGTCCACCTTTGTAGAAGAGAAAATAACCTTGTCTCAGAAAAAACAACCTTGCTCCTCTGTTGGAAGAGATCAGTTTGAAAGGGGCATGCTCATCTGCTTGGGATAACAAGCTTGCTAATTCGGAAGGTAAAGAAGCTTCCATGTTAATTTTGAAAGGCATACACGTATAATTATAGAGGAGAAGTAAAGTAATACGCAGTTTTTGTAAGCCATTAAAGATAGAAGCTGAAAAAAAAATAAAAATTGATGCCTAGGGGGTTCGAACCCCTGACCTCTCCCAATTTAGCATGGATGCCCAAAGGGAGTGAGTTAACCACTTCTCCAAGGCACCACTCCACCAGTCTAATGCTGTGCTGTGAGTTGCAGCAGCAATGCGTATTTGAAAATATATGCCCCCTCACATCGGATTATAGGCGTACCAAGGATAGGCAGGTGGGCCATACAAGCAGGTATCGTGGTAGGGTCGGGCTTTCTGTTCCCAGGCGACCTTGAACTTCAATGATAACGATGTTATTCTATGCTACGCATCATACGACTCCCTGATCAAGATATAATCTGTATTCCCTCTTGTATGAAGAACACGCTGGTCTACTATTTAGGGGAGAAGAGTTCTACTTATCGAATAACTACGTGAAGGACTATCTAGCCAGGTTCAGATGTAGCAGGAAAGGAGTTCAGCACATTAACAGAAAGAGATCCATGCTGTCTTGTTTGGAAAAGGTTTATTTTTCCCCTTCAAGAGCATTCCTGTTTATTGAAGAGTTATGGCTCATTCAAAGGCGTTAGTTTATTCATAAACTCATTCATACGTTATGTACTATGTAAACTATTGACTCAGATTGCCGTTGGGAGGACTGAGTAATAAAGCAGCTTGGTGTGTAGCATTGGAGATACACAGAAGACGTATATTGCAAATAATTATGCATCAAGGGAAATATCTGTATCACAATGTCTATTAATTTACAACTAAGGCCTATGAAGACCAATCTATTCCTATGCACAGTTTCTCATTTCAACCTCTCTCCTTCATTTCACATACCCTCGGAGAGCGTATGAATTAGCCTTGCACGGAATCAGTAACTTTTCAACCTATTCCTGTTACTACCTCTTCGTTCCCTGTCCTGCTACAGGCTTTTCCCTCATACACCTTCTCGGCCTTCTGTTTTGCCTCCTACGTTTTATTCTCCACCTATTTCTCCTCGTAGACCTTGGCCTTCCTTATCTCTCTGACTTCCGCCGCCTTCTTCTCGGCAGCCTGATATATTTCGATCTCTAACAGTCAAATCAGTTACCCATTCGTGGTACGTGACTTCCAATTGGATATTAATAATCCTGTAGACATACGTACCTGCCTCAAGTTCCTCCTGGCACACATCTGCAGTCTTGCCAACCATTGATGCAAGCACATCGATTGGTCGAATGCTGAGCCTGCCGGCTATGCCATGTGTGATGGGATCTAAACAATAGGAATCAGCCCACCAAATACACAACCTGTCCTGCAAGAGCCAACACATACGGTCTACTATGAACTCGTAGAGGCCTTTGGCTGAGGTGTCTTCTTGATATAGTTGGTAGAGCAGATCGAAGTCAAGAGGCGTGATGCGGTATCTACCGGACATATCGGAGATGCGATCTCGTGTAGCGTCTATGATATCTCGAATCCGTTGTCTGGCCGACATTGTGACGGGAGAGGTCCTGGTGGGACACCTGCTTGTTACTAAACCAAGAAATATAACAAAACTGGCAACACAGCAAAGGTCCCGTACGCCCTCTGTGTCGTTGTGTGAGAGTTACTTTGTGATAAGCCTTAGTCACTTCTGAACGACGTTGGACCGCGTTGCAAACTTTTGCTTCCATGTTTCACGTTTCCTAGAAAGACGGTTGCTGCACTGTCCATACATGTTCTTGTTCGGTGGACAACACCCGTACTGTCCTGTTTTTCACATCGCTACAGTGAGTTTATGTAAGCCACCTCCTAAACTCCGGTCAACAACCATCCCTTGTTAGAAATTTCCAGGAACAGCGTATCTTGAACTCTCAGTCACTTTACCTATTCACCTATTAGTAAGTGATTCATTCTATCAACTTACGTAGGGTGTCTTACCCGACTAAACAGAACCCATTTAGATACCTACAAATTGGCGCCGACCAATAAGAGCCACCGAAAATATTACTTACAGATCATTTGTCTCATAGCCCTTTGCCCTAGCAAAGCTATGGACGGCCCAGTATGATAGAGTATTCATGACTAGAAAGCATTCTGCCTGGTATCTATTTTGGGCGGTAGCCATTGAGATGGCTTCGCTCCCCGCGTGTATTATTCGCTGTATTGCTGCCATGGCGATAAATGATATTTGGATTGTCGCGCGAAGGGGGAGAAACAATTTCCTAGGCTCGACTTTAATCTTATATACTCAGGTAGTTGCGAGGCCCAGTGAGGCCCAGCCAGGATCGTGGCGACGCTGGATTGGTGCCGTAATACTTGTCCGCTCCGCAATACCCAATAATATCATCATGATTTAAATCGCGCTCGAGGCGGCCTAAACTTACAGGTGACTCGGGCTAAGTAGTTGGTTGCTAAATTACCTGTCGAAGCAATAGTCGCCCGACGTGGGTGGTAGCCTAAATAAGGGGGCTGTGATGGTTTTTGAGTGACACAAATGAGGCTGATTCAAGTATAATAATCAGGTATCATATATGCGGAATTTTCGAGCGTATACGATATCTCGCTGGGTAGTTATACCCCTCTCTACATTGTTGTAGGGAAATCTTGTTGCATAGATGGTCGAAGGCATCACCAGAATAGGGGGCTGTAGCTTAGATAAGATATGAGTAAGGATATACAATAGGCGTGGATCGTTGATTAGAACAATATGATACTCACTTTTGGTTTTATTCAACCAAGGAAATGATAGCATAGTATGGGGAGATAGTATGCAGTAGGTATGGCAGCCTAAGACTCAGCACAATTCTATGCATCATCTCTTTCTAGCCACGTCTCATCATCACATACGAGCAAATCACAATACCGAAAGAACCAAACGTATTGTCAAAATGATGTCAAAGTTGACTTCTATGTACTGCACAAAAGCGCGCATGTAACCTAAGATACAAGAAGCCTCCTCACTCCTCGTACCACGCGACCGAAAAATCAATTACGAAGGGGGGAATAAAGCACAAAAGCACGGGTCATCCATGCCCCACTGGTATACTGAGCGGAAAAATACGCAAAATCATTATTCAGCCCAATGACGACTATTCAACCGACCACCTAGATCAAAGTGAACCCCGCAGTAAAGCACAAGGCGACGACCGCGGGGATGATCATGGCAGCTGCGGAGGCAGCACCCTGAGGCGCTAATGTGGGGGCAGCGTTGTGGGAGGAGTCGGAAGAACTGGAGGAGCTGGTGCTGTCGCCAGTGCTACCAGGGGTGTTAACGGCATCGTTGGCAAGAGGCTTGACTGCCAGATTGGTCACTTGCTTGCCGTTGGCATCCTTGACCGTTTGCTTGACAGAGTAGTCGCTAATGTCGACGATCTTGCCAGATGGCTTGGGGGAGACACCGTTGTCAATGATGTCCTGGGCTCCAGGGGGGACGGCAGGGAGGGTGAAGTTGTTGTTGAATCCGTCCTCCTTGATCAAGCTGGCCTTGCACTCGGGAGGGGTCACTTTGTTGTTGGTGGCCTTGACGCCCTGGACCTTGCTGAAGTCGACCTTCTTGTACTGGTTCTGAAGAGTTGCGTAGTCGCTTAGAAGGTTGACGGTTCCGTCGTCGTTGCACTCAGCAAGACCGTAGTTGTTCTTCTCCTGGGCCCATTCGTAGACGACACCACCCGAGAAGGTTCCCATCATCTGGTCGCTGTAGATGGTGCCAATCTCAGTGAAGACACGAGGGGAGGGAGTGTTGCAGCCGTACTCGGAGTAGAAGACCGGGACGGAACTGCTCTTGAACATAGCAACCAGCTGGTCGTATCCAGACTCTTGAAAGGAGCTCTCACCACACCAAGAGTAGCTGTTCAAGGCGAACATGTCGGCGCGGGACATGTCGTTCTCGTCGCCGTCGATGGCGCATTGGAAGTAGTTCCAGGTATCCTCAAGGACGTCACGGACGTCGGCAGCGGAGTATCCAACGGGGATAGCGCGGTCGGCATGGTTCTTGATGTAGTTCTTGAGGTCACGAGTGACAGCACGAACGTAGGGGGGAACAGTGGCACCAGTCTTGACATTATCAATGACTTCGTTGCCGGCGAAGAAGCCAAGGGTGTTAGGGTAGGACTTGAAGGCTTCGACAATAGCGAAAGTCCGGTTCAAGTATCCAGCGTAGTACGATTCCCAAGGCGCACCACTGTTGAGAGACTCGCCTGCTAGGGGCGAGTTGACGTCGATGATCATATACATACCCGCCTGTTAAAAAGTTAGATCAGAATGGCGCAGCAGCTGGAAGCACCAAAACTTACAGCATTGAAAATACTGGCGCATTCATCGTGGTTGAGGTTGGGGTCCAAGTTGTAGACTCGAATGGAATTGACTCCCAATTCCTGCATAAGCGCTGCGTCTCGCTTGCAAATATCTCCATTAGACAGAGGGTCCTTCCCGTGGCTGGGATCATAACCAGCGCTTCCACCGATCTGATAAGCCATACCGACGATCTGGAAAGCATCGCCGCTCTTGGTGTTGACAAACTGGTTGCCTTGAACTTCGAGGGGTGTGACGGCGGCCGCTAGGGTCGCGCCGCCCAAAGCGACGAGCGCAGATTTCACGAACATTGTCCTTGGTCCAAAATGTAAATTCTTAGGTCGCGTCGCAGTTTTGGTATGAGGCTCCTTTAATATTGGTAGTAAATCTCGAGGCTGTTATTCTAAAAGTCGATTCTATGTCTTCCGTCGGATACCACAATCGGCGCAAAGTAGCCTTCTTTTCAAAAATAGATATCGAGAGAATGACGAGAATAGGCCGATGGCAAAAAAACGATTGTGGGTAAAAAGGACTAAGAGAGTGTTTACTGAAAGAAAGCGCCGGAACAGAAGAGTTAAAAAGTTGTGAAGATTTGGAAAGAGTGACAAGAGGTTGGGTGCGAGAGGTTAGATAGATCAATGATTGGAGTAGGAGGGAGGCAAAGCGGTGCAGGTACAACACAAGCAATTGTTACTTGGGTACAAAAGATTACCACGATGCCAATCAAAGGCTACGGTCTCGACTTTCCAAGGGTTTGACTAGCTGACTTGGGCAGTCTTGGGGCGGGTTTGTTGCAGTAATCAATGGCGGCGGGGATTGTGACTGGTTGAGCCGGCGAAGTACCCTCCCAAGTAGGAAGGACCCACAGAAAGAAG